ATGACGGCAAAATTGTCTGCGTACGTCAGGAAATGCATCACGTTGGGATATGTCTTGCGTATGTGGGTTTTGAAGTGGTCCATCAGCATACCTCCATAACCCTACGGACTGTAAGTCCCACAAAAAAGTGACGGAGGAAAGCTTTCTGCCGTACCTTCACTTGGTCTACAGATGCCGTCGCAAAAAACACGATCTCTGCAAAGCCGCGATGGGGAAACGGACGGTAACATATTCCACCAACTACCTTGTATCCTCGCTTGATGATTGCAAGTGCTTTTGAGTTGCTGTCATATACGAGGCGGGCGATATATTCTCGTGGCATCATGGGGAGCTGCGTGCGAAAGAGAGTCTTTAGGCCCGTGAGGATGACAAGTGAGCGGGGTGTCCCGTCATTTTCGACTGCTGTTACTTGGATTATGCCTTTACGGAGTTCAACGAAAGAAGCTTTTTCCGCTCTCGGGGGCGGCTAGGTAGGATGTTCAGGTTAAATAACTTTGCATAGTGGGTGACTCACAGCAATCGAGGACGAAGGCCCGGCGTCGACGGTGACGCCAGTCGCAAGTCGAGTTAGCTGAGACTCGTCCATCTTCTCTTCAACCTTGATCTTTGCTTCTGAAGTATGTCCATTCAACCCGTTCACGTCAGGTTTCAGGTCGGTCGTGGGAGCAGTCTGAGCCTTCGACATCATGCTGGAGGTCTTCTTACCGCTTCTTTGGTTCGTTTTTCGTGCGGGGGTGCCTGGTTGCGCTTGCGCTACTTGGGCTGCTAAAGGCTTGTCCTCTTCATCATCATCATCTTCTTCTGCGTCGCTGAGCGACGATAATGACACCCGACGCCTCTTGGTAGGAGGCTCGTCGCTTGAGATAGAGAACGTCGGCGATAACGCTCTTTCCAGTGGTGAGGAGGTTTCTATGCAATTGGGGTAAGAAGGAAGCAAGTAGGATCCGAGTCGCAAATCTCTCACCGGCAGAGGGAGAAGACATCGTGATCAAAGACACGGGTAACTTCATGTGTTGCCTCAAGGACAGTATATCATCGTCGACGTATTCAAAGTCCAGCAGCCGATCTACTTCCTGTAAGGATGCAACGTAAGTCACATCAGCTGGACATGCTTCTCGGAGTAAGATCATTGCCAACCTAGGGCCGAGAATCGCATGTGAGTTTCGCCATCCCCGCGCAACTTTGCATGATTCGTACCTGCAACAGTTCGTCGAGACGAGTGGCTAACCGGGCTCTGCGAGAGAATTCTTCCCTGCCAAGAACGGATTCGTTCGCGCCGTGGTCTGCTACGTCGTGCCCACAGATGCAAGAGTCGAGATATGCATGTTCGTCTTCTTCATCTGAGCCGTACTGATTCAAGTCTCCGAGTGACGACTTGTGACCATCGTCGTCGCCTAATACCACTTCAACGTTGGGTGGAGGTCGCACGCCTGGACATATGTCGCATGCCGAGCAAGGTGAATGACGAGCGATCTTGAGCGCTAGCGCTACATCGCTGAATGGCGCGTCGGTCGGTGATGGATACGACAGTTTCATCGTCTTGGCTGTCCGTCGTGGCCGTCAAGGGTGTTTGTGTTCTACCATTGCCGCAGGGGCTGTTTTCTCTACGATTTCTGCCAATTTCCTTGTAGCGCGGGGTAACAAGGACCCCGTGCACCTGGATCAAAAGTGGCACTAAGTCAATATGACTGGCATGCTATTCATCCAGCCTCCGGAAACGCACAAGGCATTCGAGATGCATGTTCTGTGAACGATTGTCTTCCTTTCTACAATAAAAGTACAATTTATCATGACCAGTACAAAAAACGATTGTTCGTCCGCATGAGTACGTGAATACTTCAGAAAATGAGGGCAGTGGAGCAATCCTGCATGCGAGCCAGTGCGGTGATGAGACTTCGAAGTCTCAGAAAGGATCGAAGACAATTTGTGAAGCAGCCACATCGATCAAATTGAGCCCACGGCGTGCTTCCGCTACCTCAGCATGCAGTCCGCTCGGTTCATCTGCCAACCACGCAAGTATTCGAAGCGGAGATCACGATGTAATCCTTATCACAAAGTTGACTGGCCGACTAGTGGCGGGATTACAGGGGTGAGCGGGCTTAGTACTAAAAGGTACAAGTAAGAACAAATCATGAACGTGTCTCCACCGGAGCGATGCAATCAGATCACGCACCTTCCAATCAAAGCGGGCTCGATGGCCTGCGCGGGATCGGGAGAATGTGAACGGTTTTAGTTGAGGATGTTTGTGCTAAAGTGAGTGAAGATCGCCGCACTCGGATTCCAGCATCACTACTGATGGTTTGGCAAACAGTTGCGTTGGGAGACTTGGAGATTGATTTCTCCGACGCGTGACTCTGCGTCGCTGGCGCTCTCAGAAGCACATGGAGAGAACGTCCATGTGTCGCACGCCCAGGTATGTCCAGCACAGCTCACGAAACGATGGACATTCACCTTCTTTCAGCCTAATCTTACCAGAGGCTCCGGAGTGTTCTAATTGGTCATTGAAGACCATAGATCAGAAATCAAGCCTCCATACAGACCCAAGGCTCGTCTGCCGAGCAATGACCAGCGTACAGCTAAATAGTTATGAGAGCAGCATACCAGCTCATGCCATTCACGAACGGAGCGCACCTGGTAATATAACAAGTCGTGCAGAAACAGCCGAAAGGTCAGGCTCAAGATTTCAGCACGGTAAGTGCACTGAAGACACGGACACCCAGCAGCCAACAGGCTGCAGCTGGTTGGTGAATTGATAAACCCCCAGAGTCGAAGAACAGCTGCCCGGGACCCCGGACACGGCCCACATATTATGAGGCTCAAGTATATTTTCATGAGAATCAATGATCGTTGTCCTGTCGCTTCAAGGACTCGGGCATGCATGTACCCGATCTGAAAAATGGCTTTCACTGGCAAACCATTGGTGTGCATTTCTTCGTGGATTCGCTCGCTATATCTCTTCCTGTCTTTTCTCCTTCCAGTATGGGCTTCAGAATGGATACAATACCCTCCAAGTGGATATGCGACCATGACGCACTATACCCTTCCTCAAGGCTTCATTGCGGCGTGCGGATGCACTCCGAACAGCACCAACTATCCTACCGCTGCGATGAGTCAGATGGCATACGGGAGTAGCACCGCGTATGGCCCTGCCTGCGGACAATGTTTTAACCTGACTCTGTTGAACGCCTTCACGGCTGATCCACCGTTCTACCCTAATCAAACGAACTCAGTGATCATAAAAGTGACTGACTTGTGTCCACTTTCGAAGAGTGGTTGGTGCAACGCAACGACGTCTAGCCCAAATGCGTGTGTGGACCCGTGCTCTCTTTGGAGGTCGTCGTGATAATAATCTTCATAGTGGGGGCCACTATATCAACTTTGACCTCGCATGGCCATCTTCGTCAATATCTAACGACTTCTTTCCATCGGACCCTTCATTGTATGGTGCGTCCGCCGAGTCATTGTTCCTCAGTGACCGGAACTGAAATGTTGCGCCTAGGTTTCACCGTGAGTTTCCTGAACGGCTTTGTCCAGGGCATGGGATTGAACATCAAGTGAATAGGATTTCGGCGTTTGGAACATCAGCTATCAGAACGTGCCTTGTGAAAACTGGGAGGGCTGGAGCAGCGGGGCTGGCCTTGGAAGTGTGGCAGACTTGGGTTACGATGCGTGTTGTCCCGATAACCCAACGGTAAGTATGCAGACAAAAACCGTGCATTTCCGAGCTTGACGCAACCAGTGCAGATGAGCAATGATACCTGTCCTTCATATTCTGATCAAGAAGGCATTCCGTTCGTAGTGGTATTTCGGCTTCAAGACTTGACTTACTCACCTCCTGCCAATACAGACCAAACAAAATGCCTGGATCCGCAGGCGCTACATTGATACCTCACCTTCTTTTGACGCCACTGACTGTATTATTAACATCGTATTTGCTATAGTTTCTTCTCATCTTCCGGGATTTTATGTTGTTTTCTAGTATCTTGTTCGGCCTCCTGGCTTTTATCGGACCTTATTCTCGCAGTCCTGCTATCACCTAGATATTTGATTAAGCAATGAATGGACTGAATGCGTCGCTTCTAGACTTGCGAGTTGACTTCAAAGTCATTACAACGGTGTAATTTCGGCATGATAATCAAATGCACACCGATATAGGAGACTACGATGCAAATGCGTCTGGCAGTCTTTCATTTCCACGAAATACTACATGACCGACGTTGCGGGCGAAGTGCGGCGGTAAACGGCGCGTAGGGGTTTTCTTCTTTCTGCGACGTTCTCCTAGAACACCAGTGGCGGAACCTGAAGGGAGTGCTGGGCGCGAGGGCTCAGCCTGAACATCTTGACCACTTTCTGGTGCTGGTGCCAGGTCCAGAACAGGAGGAGCGGGAATACGGCGTTCGGTAAGACAAGAGTGACAAGTATAAGAAAGAAGGTGGCCATGCGACGTGGAATCTAACTCCAAGTTAACAAACATAACATCATCCGCAGGAAGGATTCACTTTTGACTCGGACGGTCGAAGAAACACCCGGAACGAGGACTAGGCTGCAAGTTTTGCAGATCAAGCGCTTTACCGACGGGTCCCTGTTCCGCTTGTTAAGAGGGGCCACAGATAGGATCTAAAACATCACCGACATCTTCACGTTCGTTTTTGTCCCAACAACCTTCATCGTATCTATATAGCTCCTCGATAATTCGGAAGTAGTCACGGTTCTTCTGCAGCGCCGATGGGGACGTTCTGGCTTGCTGCTCTCCGTTACCGGTGATGATGGCTCATGGTCTGGAGCCGCGACTCCGTTGAGTAGGACGCTAGCTTGGTACAGAAAATTTAATCGCTGGATGATGTCTCTGTTACTGATGCTGTTAGGGTTTGGTGCGTCATCCTTGTTTTTGTTCTTCCCCATGGATAGATATGATCATCATCGGAGAAAGGACTTAAATGATTCGGACCATCCGGTGGACGCCGCTGCGTTAACATTCACAGCTCGTCCTTGAGAGGTACCCGACCTTAGCTCAGTTGGAAGAGCGCGAGACTGTAATGGCTAAAATTTCATCTTGAGGTCGCCTGTTCGAACCAGGCAGGTCGGATTGTTTTTGAACTCTGCAGTTCGCTCATTGCTGTGAGCTATCGTTTTTATTCTTGTGCGGGCAGTTGCTACTGTTTGATATTATCAACAAGTGCTCCCGGTTGACAACTCCGACCTTAGCTCAGTTGGAAGAGCGCGAGACTGTAATGGTTAAAATTTCATCTTGAGGTCGCCTGTTCGAACCAGGCAGGTCGGACTCATTTTTGGAAACGCAGCATTACCACTAGGTCCCTTGCGCGGGTTGCGAGATACTTTCTTTTGGATGCAGTGTAGCGGTGGATGTTTTCCTTCCTCGCGGGTCAATATGGTGCATTCAGGTCAATAAACCAACCAAGCGGCCTACAGTGGTATAACATCGAAACGAAGAAGATCAATTCAGAGCGGATCGCGAGTGCGTAGTCACATCCAACCGTAGAAAGTCCGGCCCCACTTAGTAATGAGGCCCCGGCTGAACCTGCAGCTGGGACCCAGACTCCCACATACATTCCCATGTGGTCCACACAACTAATAGATGTAGCGCCGCAGCATAACATATAAATGCTGTCCGTGCTCGGTGGTTTCCCAATATCGATCGCGTGAGGATGAGCACCCCGCGTTCGACAATATTCAGGGCTTCGTAGGCACGAGTTGCTTCCTGTTTGAGTGGAAGTAGTTAGCTCCACATAACGAACGACGAGAGGCGGAAGGAAAATAAGTCACTCACTCGGCCGCGGAACGCTTCAAAAGGGTTCATGGCTTCTTCGTACCTCCTTCCCCACTTCCCTAACTCATCCCGATCCCTGCTCCCATTCGCAATAACGTCTCCACTACCTCCGTTCAACCTTGATCCACCAGGCAGCGGGTCCAGTTGTGACACAGATGTTGTCTCACGATAACTTTGCATGTAGCGTACTTTTTCGTACAGCTTGAGGTTGTCGGATTGAAGAGATTTGATTTCGGCACGCAGCTCGGATATGGTGTGGAATTGGCGGCGGAGTTCCTATAAAGAAAGATAGTGAGCGGATCAAATAGATTGCGCGGGGGGTGAGGTGGTTTATGTGGACTGAGAAGGAGCGCGTAGAGAAGAATGGCGATCCGGGAGACTTACGTCCTCTAACTCTGCGTTGCGTTGCCTGAACCTATCTCTCTGACTCGTTACAATCGGTAGGATGGATGTATCGGCGGACGACGTGAATGGGATAGGCGTACCCCTCGTCGTCGCGATCTTGGAAGATTCCGCCGCCTTCCCACTTTCTGCGCCTAGATCAAGCCTCAGTGCAGCTAACACGTCTCCTGGGTCTGCAACTCCATTAGAAGACGATGGTGGACGGTTATGGACGGCGAGGAGATCAGTTTCGAGTTTCTCGTTGAGGGCTTGTTGTTTCGACAGTTCGGCGCGCGTCGTGTTTAGGTCACTTTGGGTGGTTTTGAGGGACTTTTCAAGAGAAGTGTGGAGGATCTACGGAGTGGGTGTGATGTGCTGGGTCAATACCAACGCAAAGAGGAGGTGCACGTACCCTGAACCGTGTCAACTCCTCCAAAATTTTCTTGTTCTTCGTCGCTAATAATACCTCGAGACTCTTTCCATGCTGCGCATTGGCTTTGTTGGCATTCGGGTCTGGCAGGTGCACACCAACCTCTGAATCGTGAGATGACCAGTCGTCGGTATCGGACAAGGCATCGTCTAGACCTCCAAATTCAACGTACTATGGCATTCACGTAGACGTTAGAGTCTTCTTCAACGCGTACGAACCCGCGCAATCCCAAAGGTCTGGATGCTCACCTTCATGATCTCTAATTCCCTCTTGATCTCGTCATAGTCTGCATAAGTCGCGAGCTTCTCCCTCAGCTTGCCAACTTCGATGTTCAGCTCGGCCTGCTTTCGCTCCTCCTGTTTCACACTTTCCTCCTCTTTGCCGGCGAGCTGAGCTCGGGAGGTGGAAAGTTGGTTCTGGGTAGACAAGAGCTGGACGGTGAGATCGGAATTTGCTGTTTCAAGCAAGGAGACGCGGTTTTGGAGGGACGAGATACTAGACAATATCTGTGAGGCAAGGAGATGTCTCATAAAAACGAGTAAAACCTACAGTTCGCTAGTCTCACCCTCTGCGCGTAACGCCTCGATTTCCGCGCGTAGGACTTCCTGCTCGTTATCAGGACGAACGAAGGCATGAGATTTTGAGGAAGGTACATACATTCCTCCCCTCCACGACTGCCACTCTATTATTCGCCCGCTCGAGGTCGGCTAGCACCATGTCAGCCTCGGCGAGTCGCGAGACGAGATCTTGATCAGCACGCGAGCTGGCGTCCAACAGCTTGGCCTGGTTTGTCTCGTTCGACAGGCGAAGGTCACGGAGCTGCGACTTGTATAAGGAGACTTGGCGAGTGAGGTCTTGTTCACTGAGTCATCGTTAGAATACCGCAGCACATCAGCAAATGATGCAAATACTGGACAAGAGAGGTATTCACATACTCACCGTTCTTCATAATTCCGCATCCTTTCATCGTAAGTGGCGTTCAATTCGTTTTCTTTCTGGGTTACTTTCTCGGAAATGAGATCATCCATCTGTTGCATGAGTCCACCAGCTTAATTTCGTTTGCTTTGGCAGAGAACTAAAATCACCTTCCCCTCCAACATCTCCACTCTCCTTTTTGTCGTCTCCAAAGCGCCACTTTCGCGACGTAAATCCGCATTTTCAGAGCGGAGACGGGTTACGTCTGCCTTGAGAGACTCGATTTCCGAATTTAACGTTGCATTCGTCGTGTTCGTAATCGTTTGCTCCTAATTATGGGAGGCGAAGGGGAGTTCCATAAGAACCAAATTCTAACAATATCAATGTCTATGAGAGCACATACCACGACGGCTTCCAGCAACGGGTACGGATCCGGGGCCTCGGCGAGCACCTTATACACACTTAGGAAAGCTGACTCGGCGACTTTAGAACGCTTCGTGAGTGCATCGATCTCTTGCTGGTATGCTGTTGTCATGGACGGATGGGCCAAATGCCAGTGCGTGCACAGATAGTCGTGAGCAACGTTCGCGTCCATGTGAGAGTTGTCTAGCACCCACCTTTCAGTAGCGCCTTGAAAGAATTCAGTTTCTCCTCATCAGGAATCTTTTTGAATTCTGTGGCCGATTGGCATTAGTGTTCTCAGTTATTGATTGCCCGGCAACTGAAGAATGACTTCATGTACAGAATTGTCCCACTTCAGAAGGATGACAGAACGAAACGACAGTACAACGGAGACGAGGACACACCTTTGGTCCTCTCAGCAAGACTCTTGCGAGCCAGGACGTTCTCCTTCTGGTTCTCGACTACTTCGATACCCTGAGTGTCGAGCGTTTTCTGGAGTTCATGAAGGTTGATGGCTATGAACAGTGATTGGTATTACCGGAGTCCTCCAAGAGTTTGAAGACCCAAATCCCTTACCCTTCCAAGTGGCAAGTGCGCCTGAAAAGTTGTGTTCCGTTGAGGCCATCGCAGTCCATCCACCGCCGTAGCGTCGTCGAATTGGTTCGTAGCGCAGCCGGGGATGACAGGACCCCAGGCCACTCTGTTCACTGTTGACTAGTGACTCACGACACCTCGTCCAGGTGATGGTCACCTCCAGAGATCAGGTAGGATCAAGACATCATTAAACTACATTGTAAAATAGTACAAAGTCCAGGTATTTGCTACTTAGGATGCATGGCGTATATAATGATGGTTGGGCGTGTCTTATGCGTTAACTTGGAAAGATATGCGGGGTGTAGGATGCAACGTGACTCCGAGTGGGTGGTCAGCAACTAGCGGAAACGATTATCCGCTTACGATGCTCGACCTCATGCGACCTTGGAAACTGAAGGTTTGGTAGCGTTTCTGTTGCGGTAGAATGCGAGTGCGTGGTCGACGGCGTTCAAGATTGGTTTCATCGCCTATAGAACAAGGTTTTTCAAAACCGCTCTCATGCGACAGCAGAAACAATATACACTCACAACTTCAACCCTAGCCGCCTCCACCCCTGCCTGCACAGCCGTTCTAACCAGGGCCTCGACTTTCTCATGGGTCTTGGCCAGATACCCGACCATCTTCGCAGCTTTTGCCGCCTTCTGAGAGGGCGTGGTTGCAGTAGACGTTGGAAGATCCGATGGAGGAGGGTAGATCGAAGTCCAGAATTGCCGAAGGAACTCATTGGCGGCCGTTTGGCACGTCGTGAGTTGGCGAAAGAGGTCAGGTGGTAGGTCGTCTGATACGTCTGAACACAAACGCAGGCATAAAAGGAGCATGACACGCACCTTTCTTCACCTTCGTATCCAGACGCGCAGATACGTTCTGCGTCATGGAAAGGAGAGCCGCATCTCCCGCCTTTCGGTCTAATCGGAGCTTTGGACGATGTTAGCAATACAGGCCATAAACATGAACATTACGAGCCTGCCTACCTGATTGAAATTAGCCTGCCAGTCTCCCAGCCCATTGCGCAACTCAGCAAAGGCCCCCCTGACGTCAACAACTTGCGAATTCGTACTCTCAGTGGCTGCGTCCCGCGCAAGCTGTCCTTCAAAATATCGTTGGCGATCTTGCATCTCAAGGATGATGCCCGTCGACGCTTCAGGGTCTCGAAGATCCTCATATTCAATCCGGGAGAAGGAGTCCTGTGATTAGGACATGTCCAGTGAGACGCCAGTTTGTGACATAAGATGTACATGCCTGTCCTTCTCCGCTATCTATTCGCCGTCGTTTGCGCAGGGGTGCGCTATCCCTGTGAATATGGTCAGTAAAAATGGGATTGTGATCAAGACAAGAGGCGTGAACTTGCAGTGCTGATTTGAGCAACCGTTCAGAGTGCTCGTTAAACTTTCGAATGAGAGGAAGGGCACCGCGTTGACGCCCCGCCTGCATCGTAATGTCTTTTTCGTTTCCAGTCTACACGCAATTCATTCAGGTCATCAGGTTCATCTCATCACAGGGAGAGATGAGGATGCAAGATTGAACATCGTACCTCACCGTGGTCCTCAACCGTTGCTCCAAGGTTGATATACAAATC